AAAATGGTATTGAAGATAAGAAGGGTATTAAGACAAGTATCCAGGTTATGAACATTAAAAATGAATTGATGAAGAATGGTGTTGATAATGTTAGAAATAATAGAGACATTAATATAATAAATGTAAAGGATACTGAAAGGAGAAGTCCTGAAAGAGAACACATACCTAATACTCAAGCAATAAATAACAAATGGCCAAAAAATCTTGATCCTAAAATAGATAATGTTGATGAAACTGCTAAAAGTGTTGTGGATATTAAATGCATAGGTTATGATTAACTGAGTCTAAAGGATGAAATGAAAATTGAAGGCTTACCTTATATACTATCTAATAAAAATGTGCTGAAAAGAGTTGTGGTATATACATTAATAAAAAAGCACCAATGATAGGAACATTCGTGAATAATGATGTTGAAAGTCATATTAATATAGCTTATGATCTTGGATGTTGTTCTGAAAATGTAATTGGAGCTGAAAGTAACAAGCAGAAGCCTGTTAATCAAGGGTTGATCGAAGAGGTATATTCTGGATTTCTTTTTTTTGAAGATTGTATTGATCAGTTAAGGTGAATCTTGAAGATAAAACAAGATGATGGGGAATGTATAAAAGAGAATTCTAAGCACTATAAGATTCATGTGATGATGATAGATGATGAGGTATTGGAAGATTGGAAGAGATTTTAATATTTTTACGGTTTGAGGAATCGTGATGAAGTCAAGTCCTTTCTACTCAAGACATATGATCAAGTAAGGAATTGGCGTTTATGATAGAAACAAAAAAGGAAGTTAAAAAAGATAAAACAATGGTTGATAATAAAGGAAAAGTAGATAATAAAGAAGGAGGGTTAGTAAAATAGATACTGATAAAACTAATCTGATCGATAATGATCAAATGTACCAAATGAATAATGAAAAAATGGAAAATTTACTCTTGCCAAATAATTAAATGACCTGACAGATCGAATCTGCTGAAGAAGCTGCTAAAACTAAAATGAGTAATGTAGGGTACTGTTACCAATGTAGAATAAAGATCCCAATATGGATGCTAATAGTGTCTGGAGAAAATTAAAATAATATATTAATTAGTAATAATTGTTTGTGGGTTATATTTTAGTAGTTGCATATTATGTTAATATAGTAGTATAGGGTCTTATATTAGTATAGATATTTTGCAAGTAGAACAATTTGTGTAGATAGGTTGTAACTTCAGAGATGAAGTTCTGGGGTCTAACTCATGACATAGGATAAAACATGCCTCTGGATTTCATGGTGCTGTGATCTGCATAAGATCAGGTTCATGTAACTAACATGTTATATAATCTTGATTATTTAAACAAGATAAGATCTTAAAAATAACAAAGGTTGATTTTAGCTTTAGAGTTAGTCTTATAGTAGTTAATTAATAAAGATGCTTAAAGTATAAACTGTGTGTTAGTGTACATAGAATAAAAGGTGAGAGTAATTGGTATGATACTCCAGTCCTGTATAACCAAGCAAGCACTATTTGTTAGTGTGAATTGAGTAAAAACCCTAGGAGTTAAGGAACTCCTTAACACAATGTTCAATTGGTTTCAAATTTTTTTGGACATATGTCCAAAAAAATTAAAACTAATTGAATATTGTGACATGCTATCTCTGCTAGTTTTTATCTAACTGTACATTACTGATAATGATGAAAAATATCGATTTCAGTGTTTTTTGATTGAAATTAATATCACTTCCATATATATCTATGAGTGACATTAACACTGATAAAGAAATTTTCTGTGTTATAATTGTTGTTTCAACTTCTGCAGTAAATAGCTATGAGCATGAATAAATTATTTTAATTGATTTCCAATATCACACCAAGTTAATTTTTCATTATACATAACCCTTCAGTCCAAATTTTTCAAAATTTTAAACAAAATAATGATATTTGATTCAAAATAATAATTATTATTATTTAATCAAAATATAAAGACATGCAAAAATTACTCGAGTCTAATTTAGAATATTTTAGAATAGTTTCTTTTATGAAACCTGATTGGTTAAATCTATAAATTTCAGCATCATCTATCTTAGAATCATTAATTCAGTTAAATAACACTTTCATATTGTTGCCAACTTTAAATGTTTATATTACCAATTTTAGTATATTCACATTTATATAAAGATTGCACTAGGTTATCAAGAATATATAAATGCCTAATACTTAATGGTCAAAAAAAAATCTAGAAAAATAATATGCAATAAATTTTTTTCCATATTTAGGAATAATGACTAATGCTAAATTATTCTTTCATTTAAACAAATGCTATAAATAGCAAGATTATCCAAATATTATCACATGATGGATGATCATTGCAGAGTGAAATCTTATTTCTAGATCTTTTTTTTTTATCGCACTAACAAATCAATAATGAATAAATTAGAATAATGCAATAAGACCAATTCTGTAACTCTCTCCGTAGATCACTTGTTCCAAATTTTGCTAAAAAACATTTGACTTTTTCTCAATTTTTTACTAAATAAACCTTTTTTGTGCTCTTAAATAAAGTTATTCAGAACACTTTTCTCATCCTAGGCGGCTAAGTTTTAAGACTCAACAATACTTGGCCGCTAAGAAAAGTTGAAAAAACCAAAACTTTGATTTTGCTTATTATCTAATTAATTTATTAATTAAACTGATACTGCTTCTTAGTAGACAAATACTCAGCTCCTTGAGGCGGTCATTTTGACATATAATTTACCTTAAATAGACAAAAACTTAGCAAGTTACCTCCAAAAAGGTTAAAAACTAAAACCTGTCTTTGCAGGTTTTTTTACTGGCATTTTAGGAAAATCTATTGGGTTGCTTCAGAAAATTCACTTTTCTGGTACCCATTAACTTTCCTAAACATCCAATAAGCCTTCACAAAAATCCCACACTTCTCAGAAGTCTCCTAGCCAGCCTAGAAACCCCTAAATATTAAAAATTTCTTCAGAAAACACATTACACAGAAGCTCTTCCTTCTAATTTTTTATACCTAAAGTACTCCAAAATCATGCCAAGTCTTATCAACACTGAACCTGACTCCTTCAACCTAGATGATCTTCACTCCAAGTATGGTAACAAACGAGGAGTAGCTACCTATGACAAAAATTGTAAAATATTAAAAGTTTTACCAATCAATTTCAATCCTACATCATGTGATATACGCAATGCCTTTCACTTTTTTACTAGCCCCAGTGAACCATCTATCATTACCTGCTTTTGCAAAAAATATCACACCTATTTTGCATCACAACACCTAACTACATCATACTCTCAATCTTCTGATACTCCTGATATACCTGACTCATCAAGCTCTATAGAAATTGATTTCGATAACAAAACTTTCAAATCTCTTACTAATGTCACAAGATCAACTTTTCAACCCAGACACAACTTCATCCATCCCTTTCCTAACTGCTACAGCAATATTTGCAAAAATTCAGATAACCCAATTCCTTTTATTGAATTCTCACATCACGCTCATACTTGTATAATCTGCAAAGTTAAAAGTGTACCTTGACGTATGCTTAAGGATAACAACCACTCTTTAGACCCTAAAGCCCTTATTTTTACAACACAGGAAGGTGGCTTTCCAGCACATTCCCAATGTATTCACAACCTTAAACTCAAACTTTCTACCCCTACAACCTCCATGAATATGGAACAACGCAATCTATACTACTTAATCAAATGCCCCTTAATGTCAACAGAAGACAAACGAACCCTCTTTAAAAAATTTTTAACTTATCTACCCAAGAAGAGCACACTTACCAAGGACCAAAACAATGACAATAATTTACCCAAAAATAAAAAAGACAAAGGAAAACAACAAGAAGACCAAAAACAACCAGACCAAAAAGAAAACTCCAACAAAGAATCCAAGCAGAAACGTGACATCTCCAAAGACTTTGATTGGTTTAAAAACTATCCTGTTACTTCATCTATGCAACAACATAATAAACTCAACACCCCACTAGCTCAACAAGTTTTTTCTCTTCTAAAATCACATCTTAAAGACTTTATCCCAGGACAAGTTATTCCAGATAAATCTAATAATACTCAAACCAAAGGAAGGGAATATTCATTTAATTATATTTTTAACAAAATGGCAGATAGCAAACCAAAATTTCTGACAGAATTTATTATAAATGCAAATTCTAACTTTGATCAATCCAAACCAATCCCTTTCAAGGCTTACAGTGAAACTTTGAAAGGCCTACTTTCAAAATTCACAACTGTTTTCTTCACTCAACTAGATTATCTACATATTCTCCGTTCACACTACTCCATTCCACCTTACTTAATTACTAACAGATGCAGAACTGCTATTAACATAGCTCGTTTACACCTCTATCTTAACCATACATACAAAACTATCA